GTGTTCTGGTACTTTGGAGCTATTTACCATTCAAGAAAGTACCTTTATGTGCTCGAAAATGATTCTCACAGAGCATCTCATTCAGATCTGATTAATAAAAGGAATAATTCATAATCTTTTAGGTAATTATCCAGATTTAAAATTTTTTCTTGAATAAATATTTCAGAAGTTAAAAATGCCCCAGAGAGCTGGGGATTTAGCTCAGTGGTTCCACTGCCTGCCTTGCAAGCGCAGTGACCCAAGTTTGATCCCCGGTACCAAAAAAAAGCCTCAGAGATGCAGTTTCTATTACAATTGAACAAAACTTGTTAAAAACTATGCTTTATAAAACATTTCCTTGTTAAAAGTTTTTAGCTAATATTTCCTTTTTTCTGGCCAGTGATGAACCCCCATAGGCTTCATGAGATTGACTTCAATAATTTACGAGCAAAAAATTAAAATATCAGAGTTAGCACATAATAATCACACTCCCTTTCAAATGAATTGTGTCATTTAAGAAAGCCCTCTGAACTAATTATATCCTTTTGTTTGTGCTAATTTTGAGAAGCTGCAGGGTTGTCATTTGTATGATATTTGATCCTTGGGGCAAAGGGCTGAAGAGAGGACCCAGAAGGATTTGCTGAGTGTTTCTTTTTACATTCTTCTGGGGGTTTTTTTGGTACTGGGTATTGAACTCAGGACCTTGTGCTTGTGAAGCAGGCGCAGTGCCACTGAGCTAAATCCCTGGCCCCAACCTTCTTCTGTTTTTAAAAATGTGTTTTTCTGACCATTTAGCAAGTTGAGAATGGGAGAAAAGTTTTTCACATGTATTTTGTAGCCCTGTATCACCAAATTTTAGAGGACCCGGTTGAATTATTTAAGTCCTCTTGTCTTCCCAAATAATAACTCCCTTCTTCCTGCTTGCCTAGGCCTTCATTTCTCATCTCTAGTCTATGGTACATCTCCAGTGCCAATCTGTTTAATTTTCGTGTCTTTAAAACTTCTTCTCAGTATTAGCAGGTCAATTCATATTTAACCTGTTCAGAGATGCAGCTTTATATAACCATTATTGTATGGTATGAAATACTAGGCAGAAAAGTCCTTTGGTGACTGATAAATAGTAATGTTGCAGTATGATTGCAGATAGTGACAAATATACATTTTTCTTAAACGTGAAACCTATGAGCCCCCTCATCCCACCATTGATTTCTCACAGAAAAAAAATTTGCTTACCATGAAACTTCACTTCTTTCAGTTTCAGTAGAAACTGGGAAATGCATTGTAGTTGGACCTCTTTATTTTTTATAGAGCTCTATTTTTATAGACATTTTGTAGTGAATTTTATCTTTTAGACTAGTTAAGACCTATTTTAAGTATTGTTATTTTTTGTTGCTGCTAGACCATTGGGTAATTACCTTAGTCTTTTTAGTTTTAGCTTCAGCCAGCGTAACCTGTTTACTGATGCTTCTTGTCCATAGCATAATGTGATGTCGTTAATAAGAAATTTTTAATAAAAAAAGTCATAAATACTTCAGAACTGGCTTATTAAGAAAATACAAGTATATCTCTAGTTTTTAGTGTTCTGAACAATCAAATATATTTGGAGAAATTTTATATTTGTAATGGATTGACTAGACTGACATGGCAAAGCACTTGAATTTTATTTGAATTACCCACTGTTTATGTGGTTTGTTTTAGTAACTGTTGGAAAGTACTTTATTTCAAGATGTAATATATCTATGTACCAATTCCCCACGATGGATGTAGTAGTATCTCAAACATGAACCATAAAGGGAAGAAGGAAGGTACTCTACTGCTTAACAACATATTGAAAAGCACCTAGCCTTTGTGGATTTCTTTTTTTTTCTTTTTTTTGGTACTAGGGATCAAACTCAGGACCTTGAGCTTTTGAGGCAGGCAGCAAAACCACTGAGCTAAATCCCTGGCCCTTTTTAAAAAAAAAATTTTGAATATCTATAACAAACTTGTGCCAATAGATAAAATTTAATAAACATAGAAAAGAAATCTGGGGGAGTAATTTTTTTTATTAGTGTCCTCAGTTGTACATACATATTTGTGGACAACATTAAGGTATTAGTACTCCTTACAATTTCCTTTAAGTACTCCACTGTTTGTAGTTTTTGAAACACTAATACCCTTTCCACTTTATTATATTCAGCAATACATTGTATCTTTTTTGGACATGTTTACAGTATGTAATGTTTACATTCCTTGTATGGAGTTGGTACATGTACATAACACATCTTAATTCCTTTTTCATCTCCTTTCCTCCCCTTTTCTCCTCCCTTCGTCTGTTGATCACCTTCCCATTTAAGAAAGAGCAATCACCCTATTTTGTATATCTTTTATTTTTCTCTTAATAATTTGGGTTTCTCATATAAGAAATCTTGTGATATTTAAGTTTATGTGTTGGATTTATTTTACATAACATTATGGTCTCAGGTACATCTGTTTTCCTACAGGTGACTCTTTTATCTTTCTTTATTGGCAGAGTAATACTCCAATGTCTATAAATACATTTTCTTTATCCATTCATCTGTTGATGGACGTAAAGGCTGCTTCCAAGATTTAGCTATTATGAATTGTGCTGCTATAAACATGGGATATGCATGTATCACTGTAATATGATGTCTTTAACTCTTTCCAGAAGATACGTACAAGGGGAATAACCGAGTTAAATGAAATTTCTAGTTTTAGTGTTTTGAGGAATCTCCATACTGATTTCTATAGTAGTTGTACTAGTTTACATTCCCAGTGACAATGGAGAAGGGTTCCTTTTTTCCCCTGCAGCCTCCCCAGCATTTATTATTATTTGATTCTTTGATGATGATCATTCTTTCTGGGGTAAGATGGAGTCTCAGTATTGTTTTAATTTGCATTTCTCTAGTGGCCAGACATGTAAAACTCTTGAAGTTGTAAGTGTAAGCAAGGACTTTCTGAACAGAACCTTGGTTGCATAGGAAATAGTATCGAAAATCAACAAATAGGGTCATATCAAATTAAAAAGCTTTTGCACAGCAAAAGAAACAACCGACAGAGTCAAAAGACAACCTACAAAATGGGAAACAATTTTTTACCAGCTTTTCCCTCAGAGGACTACTAATCTAGAATATGTATTTTGTTTTTTAATACAGAAGTTTCTTAGATCTACTCATGTTTATTGTTGTTTTTTAAAGATTTATGTGGAAAGAAATCCATTTAAAAATACTTTATCTCTTCTTTAAAAAATTGGATTGAAATATTTAGTTATACAGCATTGGCTAGCTCACATGGCCAAAATGAATTGTGCCCCACTTCTAAGGGAACTTAGAACTTTGCCCTGACACACAACATACACCAGAAAACTATGACTTTCTTTTATAAGAAGAAAGTATAATTAAAATAAATTTAAGTTTCAGTAATAGTTTATTTAGAAATTTCTTGAAGATGTTGAAATGATTTTTGAAAATCATTCAAATATCTTTTCAGATAGTTGAAAATTTTATTGTTTCAAATTCTAGTTCAGAATAAATACATTGAAGTACAGATAAACCTATAAACTGTCATTTTCCCTTTCAGGCACTGGGCTGGCTGGCTAGCTGGCTTGTGTTCTGTTCTTTTCTTTTTTTCCTTGCTATGTGGCTTTTGCTTTTGCTTTTTTCTCTAAAATGTTCCTTCCACAGTCTTCATATAGATACACCGTTTTTAGGTTTTAATGTTTCAGATAGGATAATCCCTACTTGTCAGGCTGAAATGTTCTTCCAGGCGTCTTTTGTTCTATTTACTTTCTTCTTTTTAAAAATACTCTTCACAGAATTTATCATTACCTGAGTTATTCATTTGTTTGCTTATTTGTCTGCCCCTACAAATCCTTGATGGGAACTTTATCTGTTTTATTTACTTCTGTGAATGCAGTATCTAGATGATACCTAGATGCTCTCTAGATATGTTACATAAACTTAAAAAAGGAAAACGAGGCCAGGGATTTAGCTCAGTGGTTCCACCGCCTGAGCTAAAACAGTTTTCTGGATATGGGCTCAGTGTTTTCAAGTAATCTTAGAAGTAATTGGCTATATTTGACATCCAAACTAAGTACTGCCTCCTTTTTCCCAGTCATTAAAAATTACTCTAAATCACTTACTGTTCAAATAAATACACTAAACGTTTTCAAAGTTAAAATTATAGTAGTAACATGAATTGACTTTACTAAAAATATCCCTTGAGAGATATATGTGTGTGTGTGTGTGTGTGTGTGTGTGTGTGTGTGTGTGTGTATGTATGTATATGTGTGGATAATGGCATGGCCTTTCACTCAAGAGGTAATAGAGAATCCCTATGTATAGAGTGTAATTAAGCTTGATTCAGGTGATGGCTGACTTGCTTATGTACTTTCAATTAGGGACCTTTAAAAATATACTACAGATAGATGTTTTTCAAGAACACTTCCTTGGAATACATCTTGGGGTTTGCTGTACTTTTGAAAAATCAGAGTTCGGACAACATAGAAAATATATGCAGTCAAATAAAACATCATAGCAGAAAACATTTATTTATTTATTTATTTTGGTGTTACTGTGGATTGAACCCACTACCTTCACGTGGAGTTACATCCCCAATCCCTTTTTAAAATTGTATTTTGAGACAGGGTCTTGCTAAGATACTCAGGCTGGGTTCAGGCTCTCAATCCTTCTTTATCAGCCTTCTAGAATGCTAAGATTACAGGCCTCCACCACCATGCCTTGTTTGCTTGTGTTCTTTAAATTCTTAGTTGATTTGGTCTTTTTGAGGTAAGAACCAAATTGCTGAACAGCCCTCAGTTCTGAGTTGGAAAAGACAAGACAGAAATCCCTGCTGTTTAATACATTTGTTATTTTAGTCCAGTTCTTTTGAGTGCTTTTCATTTACCTTTCCCTTCCTGTCATGCTTTTATTTTTGGAAAAACTTTGTCTTGTGGAGTGAAGGTTGAAGATCTTATATCTTTCTCACGTGGGTGGTGATTCTTTTTCATTTATTTCTTATAGCTCCTGAGTATTGGTGTTCCATTGCTTACTTTGAAATGGATGTTCAGGTAGGAGAGACATTTAAGGTTCCTTCAAGCTGCCCTATTGTAACTGTTGATGGATACGTGGATCCTTCTGGAGGAGATCGCTTTTGCTTGGGTCAACTCTCCAATGTCCACAGGACAGAAGCCATTGAGAGAGCAAGGTATTGATTATGTAGTTAGTTTTTTAAAAAATTGAGCACTACTAGTACATTGTCTTTTATTTCAGACTATTTTTCCCATGTGTATTATATGAGTTTTTAAATAAAAAGGAATAAAGATCATTTTAAATTCAAAATTTGTAAGCATTCTATTTTGAATATAGATGTTTGCTTAATGTATAATGATAAAAAATAATGAGGTTTCTATGTTTTGAATAGTAGCTAGAGCTTTTGGAATCCAGTTGGAAATTAGGTTTTATTTTCTCTGATAATGAATTATCTCTACAGATCTATTGAGAAAATAATGTAATGTGAGCACAGTTTTTTTTTTATTCATTAAGTATTGGTACATTTTAGGTATATAATATAATGACATTCATCACTGGGAATTTGTACCTTTACATGATATGTCTTGGTTCTTATTTTATTTCCCATTCCCCTGCCCTCCCTTCGACCCCTCCACCCCTCCCTATTACAAAAATTTTGCTTCCCTTTTTTCCTTTTCTCTTATTTATTCCTTTCCCTTCTTTCCTTTCCCTTACCCCTCCCACTTCCCCTTCCCCTTCTCCTTTGGACCTTTTCTTCCTATTTCACATTATGTATTATACATTTTGATCCTTATTTACACTTTCAGTCTCTTGCACCAGAGAAACTATTTGTTATTTACACATATGTGTCCTATTGAGCACAGATGTTTTTGAAAATTATTTGTGATGTTGAAAAATTGGCAAAGGAGAAATTAAATAAATTGTGGTAAAATTTCATTTTTATATAATTAAAACATTAATAAAAAGTTTATGTAACAAAATGAAAATGCTCCAGATGACATATTACAGAAAAACATTTTAGCTAATATATGAACTCAATTGTTTAATAATGCATGTGTATATAAGCATAAAGCTTTAGTTCTTTACTTGCTATGTGGCTTTGGCACATTACTCTCTATGGCACTGCTCACTAGTAGAATTTTCTGTGAGTAGGAAATGATTTACATCTGCATTGTTCAGTTCAGTAGCCATTAACTGCATGTAGCTTTTGACCACCTAAAATATGACTCATGTGATTGCATAACTGATTTTAAAATTTAAGGAGCCACATATTGTAGTGATGATTGATTTGGTCGTGTTTGTAAGCCTTAGTTTTCTCATAAGAGAAATTATAGTGCTTAACCCGACTGAGTAGTGAGGGTTAAATGAGAATTCATCTTAAGTGCTCCCAACACATAGTAATCACTATATGTGTGTTTATCATTATTGTACATGAATAGAAAAAAGAAGGAAATAGAAAATGTTAACAATGGCCATCTTTGGGTTTTGGTGTTACATTGTTCTGTTTTTATTCTTTTTAATTTTTAATATTGAACCTGTAGTATAACTTGAACTAAAATTTATTTGTAAATACCTAAGGTGAAATGTAATTCTGTTTGTCTTCCTAAGGTTGCACATAGGCAAAGGTGTGCAGTTGGAATGTAAAGGTGAAGGTGATGTTTGGGTCAGGTGCCTTAGTGACCATGCAGTCTTTGTACAGAGTTACTACTTAGACAGAGAAGCTGGACGTGCACCTGGAGATGCTGTTCATAAGATCTACCCAAGTGCGTATATAAAGGTTAGTTGCAATTTTATTTAAATAGTTTAGACTTAGAAACCTTTGTTAAAGAATTGAGGTGGTGAGAGGAATAAAAAAATGTCTTATGTTAATATATAATAATAAATTGTGTTTGTTTTGAGCATAAAACACATTTCCTCAGGGCATTTGCTGATATGATCAGTTAGTTTTGTGGTTGCCCTTTTGCCCTAGTGTTGTTGTTATCAGATTTTTAATTGTTTTGAATTAACATGTAGACCTTTGAGAATACTGAGTAAAACCTCCAAACTTGTATTTATTTGACATAAAATTGATAAGAATCAGACTAGGAAATTTGATTTTAGCTAATGTTTAGGATTTTATGGAAGGGGATTCTAAATTTAATAATTTTTCAAATTAAGACCCTGAGAAGATTGTGATAGTTTTCATTAATTATTAATTTCATAGTTTTTCAATCATCCTAAACATCTTCCTTGTTATAATAGTGGAATGAACTGTATTCCTAAGAATTGCCTGTTCCCAAGAGGTTGCTTAAGATACAAATAGTACAACCAAATAGTATCTATAAAGATGAAACTGCTTTATTGCCTTACAGTGGCAACCCCACCCACTGTGCCATTTTCAGTTACAATTCAGTTAAAAAGTGATTGTTTTATTTTTTTATATGAAAATTTCAAACATACCAAGTATAGGAAAAAAACCCCTTATACTCGTCATCCAATTTCAGCAAGAAGCATTTTATCTATCTTTAATTTGTTGGTCCCCATACTTCTTTTTCCTATGGTAATTTAAAATTAATTCCAACGTATTAGTTTGCCCATAAAATACTTCAGTGTGAATATCTGGTCTAGAAAGACTTGAGAAACATAATCACAATGCTGTTTACACCTCACAAAATTGTCAGTTAAAAATTTTTTTTTTTTTGTACCAGGATCGAACTCGGGTCCTTGTGCTTGCACAGCAGGTGACAAAACCACTGAGCTAAATCCCCTGCCTGTCAGTTAAAATTTTTAACAAATGAGCATAATTTATAGTTTTAGTGTGATAGAATAGAACAATAAAATATTAAGTTGTAGTTATTGGTAAGATACTAATGGTATAGAAAAGTTGGTTCTTAACATATTAAGAATGATTGTATTTTTGTTAAATGTCATAGGTATTGTTTATATATACATCAATCTAGAATGGTATGTGAAGGTTTTACTAAGAATTACTTTTGAGAGGAATTATTTGTATTTTCCAATTTTTCTACAAAAACTTTTATATTTAGTTATTGTGTTTTATTATTTTTTTCAATGGCATTGGCTTTCCTCATAGGTTTTGCAGCCCATTTTGTTATTTATTAGCAAGTTTATTTTGAAAGAATTAGTTTCATTTCTGTTTTTTCCTCTCTGTCATTGCTTCTCCCTATTGCACAATTTTTCCTGGCATCTTGGATCCAGTTTTCAGAACCAAATCTTCTAATTTGGAGGTAGGGGGACTTTGTCTTTTGAGGAATTTGAGTTATGCTCAGGGAATGCTTAGGGCCTAAATCTCATTGCGTAAGTTTCACTGATACTCAACTCTGTTATGGGCTAGTATTTTTTTTCCTTGGTGCATTTCTGAATTGGCTATCAAAGTATATTACCAGCAATTGATTCAAGAATAGGTGCCTACTTGTGGAAAGAAAGTTTAGCCGTTGATACTTGCTGTCCTCAGAAAGTTGAATTATTGTCGTTTATCCTCTGTTTCTGATCTGGGCAGTCCTAGTATCATTTTTTTTTAGTCTCAGTCATCCATTGATAGACATATGGGTTGTTTCTACTTTTTGACTACTCTGAATAATACTACTATGAACATTTGTGTATAGGTTTTTGGGTAAATGTGTGTTTTCATTTTCTTGGACATATTCCTAGGAGTAGAATTCCTTTATTATAGAGTAACTATTTAATTTTTTGGAAGAAATGCCAAATTGTTTTCCAAAATGGCCATGACATTTTACTTTGCCACGAGCAATGTATGAAGATTTCTGTTTGCCTACATCTCCTCAACACTTGTTATTGTCTGCCTTTTTGATTTAGCCATCCTAAGGGATATAAAGTGGTATCTCCTTCTTGTTGTTGGTTTTTATTTATTTATTTTTGGTACCAGGAATCGAACTCAGGGCCTTGTGCTTGCCAGGCAGGCACTATACCACTGAGCTACATCCCTTGCCCCATGTTTTGTTTAACATATCCTTAATAATGTCAAATAATGTTGAGCATTTCTTCACGTGTTATTGGCTATTTGTATAATTTTGAAGTGTTTGGTTAGATCATTGGTTTTAAAAAAGGTTCTTTTTGTTATTGAGCTGTAAGAGTTCTTAATACTGAGTATTAGTCTCATTTGATACATGATTTGCAAATGCTTCTTTCCATTCTTTAGGCTATTGTCAGTTTTTTCCTTCCTCTTTTTCCCTCCTTTTTTCCTTCCTCCTCTCTTTCTTTCTTTTTTTTTTTTTTTGTTGGAAGCAAGTCACTAGTACTGGTAGATCCAACCAACATTCAAGTGTGAATGTCAGGAGATGGGACTCTTTGGGATCCATTTTAGCTCTTTACCACAGTTCACCCTCTCATCCCTAATGATGCACATTTTTTCCACATGCAAGATAGGCTCACCTTTCTCCAAGTTTTCAAAATCATATTCCATTGTAGTGAGTTAGGATATTATAGTCAATTTAGGTTATAAGGCAGTACAACTGTAAAATAATAATGACTTAAAGTACCATAGTTCTATTTATCAGTCATATTGCATGTCTATCATGGGTTGGCTAAGAATTCTTCTCATATTGTCATCTCTTAGGGAATCTCTAGTATCACTGAATCTGGAGATAAGAAAAGGCAAATTGATCACTGGCTGTTAGAGGCTTGTAATGGGAGTGACATGTTACTTCTGCTCATGTTGCATGGTTCCACTAATTTCAGAGCTACAAGGAGGTTCACTTCTATCATGTTCTTGTCATTTTCTCTCCATTGATATTAAATCCCCAGTGGAGGTTCAGGGGACATTCTAAATCACTGCAGCTGCAGCAGGGAGCTTTTGAGACTGATACTTCTGAGTATGCAGTGCTCTCACATTCTGTTATGGTTTGGGTCTAGACGTTCCCCCAAAGCCTCATTCAGTCAGAGGTAGCTGAATCTGGAATGTGTGATGCTGGGATTAAGGACATGTGATTACTAAACCACTACACATGAGTGAGTGGTTTAGCACCACCCTAATCCTGGTAGTCTGGATGGGATAAAAGGGGCAGAAAGACACGGTGAAGCTCTCTTGCTACCGTGGCTGCCATGTGCGTGCCATGTTGTTTCTCCTCTGTGATGCTTGTTTGCCATCCCAGCCTTGGAGCCAGCTGATTATGGACTGAAACCTCTACAAACTGTAAGCCAAATAAACGAGACAAAAGTAACTAAAATACCTTCTTACCACAAACTGCAAATAAAAGCCCTATTGGTGAGAGTGAGGGGTGATTTGGAAAGCTGTGGCTGAAGGACCATGCTTTTTCTGTCTTACAGATCTTGCCTCTAGGTCCTCAGGAATTCAACAAAGTCTGTAGTCCTGAAATTGATGTTCTAGGCTTATCATCAGGCAGCACCTACCAGAATTACTTCTTCTCTTGATTGATGGCAAGAATGCAGTGGAGGAAGAAATCCTTTCATTTTCTTTTCTTTTCTTTTCTTTTTTTTTGTACCGGGGATCAAACTTGGGACCTTGTGCTTGTGAGGCAGGCAGCGGAACCACAGAGCTAAATACCTGGCCCTATTTTCTTAATAATATGAATTGCAGCACCAGAGTTTTAAATTTTTGATGTAGTGCAATTTTTCTGTTATATCTTTGGTTGCTTTTGGTGTCTTACCTAAGATCCTAATCCATGGTCATGAATGAAAAATCAGTTTGTAGTTACTAGGCTGTAAGTGTAAAGGTTTATTTCTGGACCGTCAATTCCATTTCATTGATCCTTATAGCTGTTCTTATGCCTGGAGCACCATTTCTTCATTACTGTAGATTCATAATAAGTTTGGAAATAAGGAAATGTTAGTTCTTTTTTAAATATTATTTTGGCTTTTCCCTTGTACCCTTGTACTAGAGCTGAGTTTCATGATTGACCTGGAATGGATCTGTTTTTAAATTTTTCTGTTGTATATGTCCGGAGTAGAGAGAGAAGATGACTGTACCCAATCATGTATTTTGATTCGATATCTCTGGATTACTTGTGTAATTTGTTTTTTGGTTTTTTGGGTTTTTTTGGTACCGGGGATCAAAGTTGGGTCCTTGTGTAATTTGAAGTAAATGTTATAGGGTACTATATAGAATTATCTATATACTATGTGCCAAGTAGTATGTATGAAATATAGAGTAGTATTTAAAACAGTTGACCTTAAATAATGTGGAGTCTTGGCATAACTGATTTCTTGGATGGTCAAATAAATATAGCATCTCTGTTTTGGTACAGATGGCTGTTGAAAAGCTCCAAGGTATGAGGCAAGTCATCACTTGATAAACCACTGCCGTGGACAGATTTTATAGTGATCTCATACTTTTTCATGGATAGTAGATAAATATCTTGTGGGACAAGATATTTGGAGTTAAAAGTATCTGATATTTTCATAAAAACTGAGATTTAAAAAGAATTCTTTTCACCAACTGTACTATTGATCAGAAGAATCTTATTAGCCAGAAAGAGACAAATATAAGTATACCTTAAATCTAACCATTGGCATTCTCCTTATTTGTTAATTTTAGGGAGGCAGCAATAACTAAAGAATATGTAAATTATTTAGTTTACTAGACAGATTCTCACCATGGATAATACTGTACTGGGATGAATTGTATACAAGTAATGTGATCCTTTAGAAGGAGTGCTGCCCACACGTTGAGAATACAGACGCACACACACATACTTCTCTTTTTACTAAAATGAGGAAGACAAGCCAAGAAGCTAAAATTAAGGGTTTTTTTCCCCCTTTTTAGATATTGATATTTTAGATATTGACCCTTGATATGGTCATCTTACATTCATAAAAATCTAATATAATGAAATGGCATTTTATAAGCTTGCAGTGAAGCAAGTGATTGACTTTTCCTTAGGTGGCTTGCTTTTTTACTTTTAAAAGTGAAGTCATTAAAAAAAAAAGTAGTGTATATTTGCAATACATAGTAATTGCATTCACCTTGGGGGAATTGGTACATATACATATTAAATCTTGATCATTTTTACACTGTCCCCTACTTTCCCTCCTTTTCCACTGTTTTATTTGGTGTTGCTTCACTGAGAATTCTGATTTTTAACAGCTTGACTGATATAATGAGATAATTCACATCCCATGCAAATTACCCTTTTTTTTTTTGGTACCGGGGATCGAACTCGGGACCTTGCGCTTGTGAGGCAGGGGCCAGAAACACTGAACTAAATCCTGAGCCCCCAAATTACCATTTAAAATGTAAAACTCATTTTTTAAATATGTTATCAGAATCATACAGCCATCTCTACATGCAGTTTTAAAACATTTTATTATTGCAGAAAGGAATCCCAGTCCCTTTAGCTATGGCTGCATTCCACAAAGTCCTAGACAACCACTAATCTACTTTCTGTCCATGTATTTGCCTGTTCAGAATAGTACATGTCATATAAATGAATTCATATAATGTAGTCTTTTGTGACTTGGTTCTTTTGTAATGTCCCAAGCTTCATCCATGTAAGATAGATTAGTGCACCATTCCTTTTTTTATGGCTGAATAATATTTCACAGTCCACATTTTGTTTATCCCATAGGTTGATAGAGATATGGATTTCTGCTCCTCACTATATTATGAATGATCTTGCCATGAACATTCATGTGCAAATATTTATGTGATCACGTGTTTTCATTTCTCTCAGGTATATAATAGTACAGCTGTCAGATCACAAGGTAGTGCCATGTATAACTTTCTGAGGATCTGCTAGACTATTTTCCAAAATAACTACATCATTTTTTAGATTCCCACTAGCAGGTTCAAATTTCTCTGTATTTTCAAACTTCTTTTTTATTTTTTTAAAACCCATCCTATGGATGTGAAGAATCTCATTGTAGTGATTTTCATTTCTCTGATGATACTGAATCAGATTAGGTTCAGAACTACATATCAGGTAAGGGAAAGAGACAGTGGATACTTCTAAGAGGAGATAGTGGGCTAGGTTAAAAGGGTATTATGAGCCCCACTTAAATTTATTTCCAGTTGCCACATACTATTCTTTTACTGTAAGTTAGGTAACTTGACAAGCATTTTTATCTTCAGGTGCTTATATACTAGCCACACCATGTGTTACTCCTTCCAAATTACTATTTCCTGGTGGTCAGTATTTGTAATTAAGCCTTATGAAAGAAAAATGCTAAAATTTGACTTCTTATTGAAAGATGATATCTTCAGGATGTTGGCAGTGATCTTTGTAAGACACTCACCTGCTTTAATAAGTTTGTAGTAAACTTATATGAGTAGCTACAGGAAACATAGTTAAATAAATGAAAGCAGAGTCAGGTTGTTGATAGCTTAGGAGTGGTGGGCAGAAATGTGTTTTGGATCTGAGCCAAAAAGAATATTTGAAGCCTTTGGTTACTTTGAATTGCTTTTATCAACAACTTAGTCAAATTCTGAAAGGAAGATGGTACTGTTTCAGTGATAGTCTTAATTTTACCATCCAGAATAAGGGATGAAATCTGTCATGTATCATGTATCAATTATAGTGTGAAATGAGGCAACCCAGGTCTCAGCATAGATGAGCTTGAGTAATTTTAAATCTTCTGAGTGTTGTAATAACATAGATAATCTGTGAAAGTTTTCTGAGGTGCCTAGTAAATCATTTTTACTGCATTTTCATATAAAAGTCAAATTTCATCTTTATTTTTGGTTACCTGCAATATATATTGTTGATGTTACCATACATGCTTGCTAAAATGACATTTACAAGATAATTGTGTTGTATACATATGTGACAATTATATTTGAACCTTGAAGATTTATAAATAATTTTATACTCCACTCCCAGATAATGAGATTACATATGTATCATACATAGTTAACAATAGTTAAAAACAAACAAACAAAAAAATCAGGGTTTGTATAGATCTAAATGTAAAATGTAACACTGTAAAATTAGAGGCTAACAGGAGAAAACCTAGATGACCATATTGGTGACGTTTTTAGATATGGCACCAGAGGCATGAGTCAAGAAAAACAATTTACTGGACTTTATTAAAATTAACTTCTATTCTGTAAAAGACCGTGTCAAGAGAATGAGAAGACAAGCCACAGCAGGAAGAAAATATTTCCCAGAGGTTGTCCAAAATATACAAAGACTTAAAACTTAATAATAAGGAAACAACTTGATTTAAAAACAGCAAAATACCTGAACAGACACTTCAGTGAAAAATATACACAGCTGGAAAACATCTGAAAATATGTTCAACATATGTCATGAGGGAATTGCAAGTCAAAAAAAGGGAAAGAAACACCACTACACACCTGCCTTAGAATAGCCAAAATAGAATACTGATAATAACAAATGCTGGCAAGAATGTAGAGCGGTCATTCATTGCTGGTGAGAATGGAAATGTTATAGCCATTTTGGTAGATAGTTTCACAGTTTCTTATAGAACTAAACATACTCTTACATACGATCTTACAATGAGATTCCTTGGCATTTACCCAAATGAATTGAAAACTTAGGTCCATACAGAAACCCACACACAGATGTTTATAGCAGTTTTATTCATAATTGCCAAAATTTGAAAGCAACAAAAATATTCTTCAGTAAGTAAATGGACAAACTAGTACATCAGACAATAGAATGTTTTTCAATGATAAAAAGAAATGAGCTATCATGAAAAAACGTAAAGAGAAACTTAAATGCATATTATTAGATGAAAGAAACTGATCTGCAAAGTCTGCATACTATATGATCCCAACTATATGATATTTTTGGAAACGTCAAAACTCTGTAGAGACAGAAGCTTAGTGGCTTACTAGAGGTTAGTGCGGAGGGAGCAATGAATAGAAAGAACACAGGATTTTTACTACATGAAAATATAGTCATTATAAATTTGTGCAAACACATAGAATGTATAACATTAAAGAGTAAGTCCTAATGTAAACTGTTGACTTCAGGTGATAGTGATGTGTCAGTGCAGCTTTATTGATTATGACACATGTACCACAGTGGTGTGGAGATGTTGATAGTTAGAGGAGAAGTTTATGTGAGGGCAGGCACTCTATACTTTCTGCTCAGCTTTGCTGCAAACCTTAAACCCTAAAAAGCAAAGTTTATCACTGTCTTTCTTTTAAGAAAAAGTGCTTATAGAGTTGTTTAGCCTTTCAAATGCCCCAGCTTTGTGCTGTGCTAGGTAATGCCTTCTCAAGATCCCACCCTAGTTGACTGAGCAGTCACACTTCTACTCTCCTTGTCCTCTTTTCCTACAGTTTTTGCAGGTGACTGCTGTTTTTTTGTGTAATCTTCTGGTGCTTTTTAAAAAATGCAAATGTAAGCAAATATATTATTTTAGGAAGATGGGTTTTTCCCAGGAAAAAATGTAGTTATCCATCATTTGTTGATTATTAAAAGAACATTCTACCACTTTTATGGGGATAGAAGTAGAAGTGATATCCACCCTTTCTTTACTATTCCAGTGCTTGGCTTGCTTGATAAAGAACGCTAAAATTATGGGCTGGGGATTTAGCTCAGTGGTGCCGTGCCTGCCTTGCAAGTGCAAGGTCCTGAGTTCGATCCCTGGTATAGGGGGACACACTGAAATTACTAACCAACATAGCTTGAAAGAAAAATGGCTACTGAGGAGGCCAAAATCAAAATAAGTAACACTTGTAGACAGCTTACTGTGTACTATGCTAAGTTTACAGTACCCTAAGAAAATATGTATACTTAGCATTCTCATTTTATACATAAGAAATTTAAGGCTCCAGAGAGTTTAAGAAACTTAACCCATATAATTAGCAGATGTCAGTGATGAGATAAAGCCAGTTTTTTTCTTTTAATTTTAAACATATAGAAAAGTAGTCAGAAACTCGTTTAGTGAAATTCTGTATACCTTTCACTTAGATGAAGTAGTTAAGATTTTATATTTGCTTGATATGTCCTTTTCTCTGCTTTCTCTGGAGTATTGAAGATAACTCTTGGTAATCTTGTTATTCTGTAACTAGATGCTTAAGTATACATCACTAAAAAATGTGGATGTTTTCTTATACTCTTTCAAATAGCAGGAATGATAAAGAATGTTAAGAAAAGATAATGGTCAGGTGACCAAAGTCATCAACTCCAGCCTAAAGAAAACTCAGCAGTTTGGTTATGAAAGGATGGTGTGATTTCTTAACTGTTCATTTGCCACAGATGGGTGGTTTTTCACAAGTACAGTGACAACTGGCTCACACTGAACTACATAAAGGATGTAGAGGCATGTTGCAGCCAGTCATCTTGATAGTGAAATGCACCTCTTGGTTAGTTCCAGGCCACCTTTCTTGATTAGTTTTATACCAGTTACAATCTACATAGAAATTTGAAATTTTTAATTCTCTTCTTATGAGAAATAAAATGAAGTTGCAAGTTTTCAGTAAATTGTACAGTGATTTTTGATGTATGTAGTCTTTCCTAGTGGATGCATAACATTAAATGTACATTTTTTTTTAAAAGGTCTTTGACTTGCGTCAGTGTCATCGACAGATGCAGCAGCAGGCAGCTACTGCGCAAGCTGCAGCAGCTGCCCAAGCAGCAGCCGTGGCAGGAAACATCCCTGGTCCTGGATCAGTAGGTGGAATAGCTCCGGCTATTAGTAAGTATGCTTTTGATTTTTTTCTTAGAGTCTAATAGTGGCATTTTATCTTGATTCACTCAGTTGATTACTTCCTTTAAGCAATAATAGAAATTAAAATTGTTACTGGAAATAATAACCTTTTTGAGTTTGTAAAAATGTGTCTTCTGTAATAGTTGCCCTTTGCCTAAGATATGACCCTGTTTGCTTTCTTTTTGTACCAAAAAAAAGAGTATGAGATAAAGGGGACCATTATTATGTTATATTGTTCATCTCCCCTTTTACTTAAGTCCCACCCCCCCGCCAGGGTGGGTTGTAATCAGTGAAGTACTTGGCTTGATTTTATTAAGGAAGCATATTTCAATTTTAGAGTTGGATGCCTCTCCAGTTTTTGTTTTTTTTTTTTTTTAAAGTAGAATGCTAAGCATGGAGAGAAAACTAAGTGAGGGTGGTATTTTGATAACTTGTAGACTTTTTTTAATTTTAGGGTAAAATTGAACTATGTGCCAGGTTTCACACTGATGGGGAATTTTTTACTGCAGAGTTAAACTCCTGACTATAGACTTTTTGATGGAAACACGTGGCACCCATCTTCCACGTCTGAAGGCATAACTAGTGATTCATTCAACCCCTGTTCTTAACCTCTTCAGTGTGGTAAGCAAATCACACTGGCTAAGAAAACTGCAGTGGCCCTGCAGGTTTCTGTACAGTACATGCAAATTCCTCCCATTAGTTTTACGGTAATATTGATTAATGCAGATTGCCTATATGACTGTGTGTTTGGACTGGAAAATTAGATGCAGAGTCTGTTGTAACTTAAGTTCAGGAGTTTACAAATTAGATGTAGATATATTCATTAGAGTTTTTTAAAAAAATTGGGCATCTAAACCATTAATTTGCTAGTTTTGATGAAGACTTCAGAGCTAGTATTAAGTTTTTTAAGCTCATCTACTTCCCTCATTGTGTATTATCTTTGTTACACTGTGAAGTTGAGAGGCAGACATCATCTGGGTCATCCAAGAGGTCTTAGCCAGACATATTAACTGTCTTGTTATTAGTCATGTCTTAGCTCTTAAGTAGGCTGTTTAGTTAAGTAAGGTTCTTAGAACCAACCTGTGGATGTGTGCTACTTCTTAAAAACAAGTTGTTTCTTACCTCTTCACCTCCACTTCTAAAGAGAAAAATAGATGGGGTGGTGGTAGATTGTGGTAATTTATAATTGGTGGTAGCTAGTAGATAAAGGAATGTAAACTACCGTAACCAAAAGTTTTCAGTTCTTATCGATAAGGTTTAGACCTACAGTTATTTCTTGGCACTTTGACAGAGAAGTTATATGCTGAGGAATATAAAGAAAGCAGAATGTAGGGAGGATGGGAAGAGATCATCCTGTCCCTCTGATGTCTTCCAAACTTTTCTGGTAGGTCTGTCAGCGGCTGCCGGCATTGGTGTAGATGACCTTCGTCGCTTATGCATACTCAGGATGAGCTTTGTGAAAGGCTGGGGACCTGATTACCCAAGACAGAGTATCAAAGAAACGCCTTGCTGGATTGAGATTCACTTACACCGGGCCCTCCAACTTCTAGATGAAGTACTTCATACCATGCCTATTGCAGATCCACAACCTTTAGACTGAGGCCTCTCACTGTGGGGCCCCTTACCATTATCAGGATGGTGGACTATAAAATATAATCCTGTTTATAATCTGAAAATCTATTTCAGTTTTGTTCTGCTTTATCTTTTCATAAAGGGTTGAGAAATGTGTTTGCTGCCTTGCTCCTAGCAGACAGAAACTGGATTAAAACCATTTTTATTTTATTCTATTTAGAACTTTTCAGGCATGGCTCAGAACTTGAAGATCAGGAAGAACACATTCTTATTAAAGCTTCACCAGTTATGTATGAATGAGTCAGTCCAGTGCTGGGAAATTTAACCCTTTTAAATGTCTTAGAGCCTTTTTTATGCAGAACATCAGTGTGTGTGGTATTCTACAGAATAAATTCAATATTGCTGATTTTAAACAGAGAAGTTCTCAGTTTAATTCACCTGTTTTATTTTATGTGCATATTGTTATTGTCAGACATACTTTATTCCAAGATATTGTGCCATGTGGGTGAGTTAATATTAGGAGAAACTTTACTCTGTTTTTAAAAAACAGTAATGTATTATAACCTTTTGTCCAAAATATTTTTTGCAAGTTAAACTAGTGGATGATTTCAGTTCAGATTGTATTGCAACCTCAGTTTTAATTTTGCCAAGGCAAAACACTAATCTGTGTGTATATTGAGAATTCCTTAAAATTGCCAGACAAAGAAATGTCATTTAAAATTGCATTTGTTATACCTATTGGATGAATATTTATCAATAAGTATACTTTTGCCCCTTTAAACAGTAGATGTATTCTTCTGTATTTCTGGGCACAAGGTTGGACTTACTAAGAAGCCTAGAAGAGGAATTTCTTTTCCTACAGTAATTTGTAGGGAAAGGTTTTGTATTTTTAAAAACACTAAAAGCAGTGTCACGCTACCTAATATCTCACTGTTCTGCAAAGGTGGCAATGCTTAAATAATGAGTATTTTGGAAACTGCTAAATTCTATGTTAAATACTGTGCAGAATAATGGAAACATTACAGTTCATAATAGGTAGTTGGATATTTTTGTACTTGATTTGATGTGTAACTTTTTTTCATATACTGTTTAAATCATGTATGTTATACCATGTTTAAAATTCAGTTTTTGTATCTTGGGGCAAGACTGCAAACTTTTTTATATCTTTTGGTTATTCTGAGCCCTTTGGCATCAATGATCATATCAGTCGGCAGTGACTTTGTATAGAAAATTTAGGTAGAAAAGTTGAAGATGTATCGACTGTACCACAGACACAATATGTATGCTTTTAATCTAGCTAGTAGCATAAATAAAACTGAATCTCAACATACACAGTTGGATTCTAGGTTTGATTTTTAAAATTTTTTCTTTTGCACTTTTGAGTCCAATTTCAGTGGCAAGACACCTTCTGCTAAATGACAGGCAATAGCCAGTTGTATTGGGCAGCTTTGGTTTTTCCCTCACACTCTACCAGGACTTTTCCATGGACATGTGTATCACTTACAGAGTTGCTTAATTTTTTAAACTTTTATTCTACTATAGCAGAAGTTAGCCTGATTATAAGACAAATAGATTGTCTGCAGGATAGATAGAGTGAAATAAAATCAAATATTATCTTTCAGATGCTTTTACTTTTTGCTTGAGGGCTTCTGTAAGCTAAGATTCTTTAAGATATGGTATGCATTTGAACTCTAGAAACACTAGGATGTATTAGTCCTCTTCATATGAACTGAAATGAACAAGTAAGGCCTTACTCAGAAGGTCTTAATTAAGATGTCCTGGAAACCACTCAGTGCTTACTGCTGTGATTTAAATACAGACCTCAATCCATGCTACACATCTTGTTTTTTAAATAGCCTCTCCAACAATTCATTTCTAGTCTTAAGTACTCACGAATACTTAACGGTAAAGTCCTAATTTTAATCTGTGTGAGTTTGGTGGTTTTTAAGGTTTTATTGGCAGAATTATAGACAGATACTGTCTCTAGAAATTTTTGTCTTTAGGTTTGACTCTGCAAGAGGAATAGGAGAGGAGAGAATTTTAGAATAAGAGTTTTTAACCCAAATTACTTGATTAGAACATTAGCCATGCAATGGTGTAATCTGTTGCTTCTTTTTCTACTTTAGGAAAGATTTTCATGTTTAGTCATTTTCAGAAAGTGTGTGGAAAATATTTGCTATGAAGTATCTCTTTGGAGCCAAGCTACCTATCTTGGTTTCTTTCTATTAAGAGCCATAAAATATAAAAGTACTTTTAGTTATTAATTGCTTATATTTTTACTAGATTGTCACATGATTTTGGGAAAACATCTAGTATATTATCAATTATTCCTGATAGCTTGGTTATTAAACTGTATTTCCGTTTCTTAGAGGTGGTCATCTTTGATGAGTAAGACTGAAGAATCTCACTAGTTTAAAATTTTGTCTATTTTAGGATAGTTTCTGTAGTTTGTAGAGTCTGATTATTATGTGGATATGATTTAGAGTGGTTTTCTTTAATTCATATCTCAAAGACTCTCAGAATGTTGAATTTCAGTAAAAGCTGAATGAAAGATGAACGAGGTACTTCTAGTGTGAGACTCGTTAGGATTTGTCTTGTGCCTTTCTTTGCATTATCAAAGGGAGTCCTTAATGGTATTGCCTTTATTTGTCAGGGAGTACATTCTTTTGCAAGAATCTGTTTTGTTTTTTACAGTTTCCTACTGCTAGTATACAGTGGTAATGATAATAAATCACTGCCATATAACCTTGGTTTTCCAGAAACATTGTCTCATTTCTTTTGCCTTTACCCCTAACTAGGGCACCTACCCATTCCTTCTACAAACTCTATAGGTTTACAGATTGGATGGTCTGACTTAAGGATAACTATACCTGGAACATCCAAATAACAGCACAGTATTAGCTGTGTTGTATTTCAGAGTTAAAAATCCATTTTTATGGGAAATGGTGTGATTTGTAATAGAAAATTTGAATGCAAAATAAAATGTTCTGTCTTCCAGATTATAAATACCTTATTTTAAAAGGTTTTGGTTAATGGTAGGAAGGTGAGTTGGCAGCTATCTTTTTGACTGCAGCTGTCTGGAAAAAGAAATTTTACATTTTCCCATAATGCTCCCTAAGTATCTGGAGGTAAAATATTTCTGCTCCAAGTCTCTTGGTAACTGGTTAATAGTCACTTACTAGCTGTTTTATGCAAAATCAGATTAATTCAGACCCTTTTTTGAAAGCCTTTTGGAAGGAGCAGTTTTATTCTGAGTAAGGCAGAGCTTTTTTTGGTAGTTTCTATAGTTGCTGTCTTTGTTGTCATTTTATTAATTTATTGATAGCAGATTAGTAAACTGGTGAATTTAGGTTACCGAAGTAAGTATATGAAAGCAATTACCTGTAAAGTTAATTAATAACCCTTGTCAGTGGGGCAGGTAATACTCAGCTTGAAGAAATACTTTTCCCCCCTAAAGGCAGAACCCATTTTGTTGCTGCTAGTGATCTGTAAATAATCCCTTAAATCCTTTGCAAGATGATAGAGAATAGCTGTGAGAATCTTGTGTGAGTCTTTCCATTTTTTCCTTCTGATAACCAGATTATTTTTTCTGTTATATCGAGAGATGTAAAAAGTTAGTGGTTTTATTCATAGCAGCATTCTTGGCCCATTCTTATCTCTATTTCTTGCCTCAGTGCTGCTAGGTTGTTTATCCTGTGTCACTGCGAAATGAATTTTCTACAAACTTGCCTAAGTAAGAAAACTGTCTTTTTGTTTTTTGATGGAGTTATTTAATACGTATTTCAGAAAATATACTGGATAAAACATTTCTTTTTGTGCTTGTCTTTGTGGGCTTCAGGGGCTTCTAAGACAGAGGATTTTTACCATTATTAAATGGTCATAAATTACTACAGTTTTGAAATTTTAGTATTTTTAACCTTCCTTCCTCTTCTGGTTTTCATTTCCAACAACTGCCACTTCTTATGTGGTTAGTAGTGTGCCTCCCCTTAGTATTTTAGTCTTCCCTTTCTGATTCATTATTTCTAACTGCTTAAGCAAGGAAACCAAGACAACTGAAATTAGAATTTTCTTTAAAACAAAAGAAAAATCGTGTGGCAGAACCCATGATGCTTTCCCGGCAAGTGTAGAAAAGGACTTCAGTGCACTGGCATTTGATACTGGTTTGACTGCATAAAATGGTCCCTGATTCTTGCTGAGTTTTAGGTGGTTGAGTGGAGAGAAATGAGTCATACTCATATTTTCCCCTTCAGACTAATGTTTTAGAAGGTTTCATTGCTTTCACTTAAGTGGTGCTCATAGAAAAACTGGGGTTACAGGGTTGCTAAATTAGCATCAACAGCCAGAGGCATTACTTTTACTTGGAGGACACCAGCAAACAACACACATATACAAATCTTGGAAAACAAGAAGGCCTTTGTGTGTGTGTGTGTGTGTGTGTGTGTGTGTTTGTGTGTGTCCTTTTAGCGCTACCTTCTGGCCTTCCTTCTCCATAGATACTTTTGACCTATTGGTGCCTTTATGAAAATTGAGGGTATATCCTGCCCCAAGGAATAGCTAAAGTAATGGCTGATACTTTCAGGGATTTTAACATCACACTTGAATGAATGAAGGTTCTTTTTCTTTTTTTAATGTAGGAAGGACTGAGGAGAAAACTGGTGAAGACAATCATTTCTTCTGTTGAGGTGGATATTTTTCACAGTTTATTTAAAATGCTTTTTCAGTAAGTCCAGAGTTGATATTCTTTTTCAACCCTAAACAAGTGGCTCTGGCTTAGGCCAGACAGTTGCACACTCTAGTTTGTGCTTTGGCAGTAATTTGATGTGTGACCTTGGGCAAGTCATTTACCTTCTCTGGGCCTCAGTTGTCTCATCTGTAAAATGAGAGTTAGACTAGATTATTTATTCCACCTCTGAATTCTAAGTGACCTTGCCTACCTTGCAGTGGTTTTGGATTTCTTCCTTACCTTTGGTCTGCTGTTTGAGGGGGCTTTTTACTTATTTCCATGTTATTAAAGTGAGACTGGGCTTGATATTTTATTATTGTTCTTCCTATGGACAAGAAGTTATATACTATGTCCTTAAGACTTAATTTTAACCAAAGGCCTAGCACCACCTTAGGGATGCAATAAAAGTACTTCACAAACAAAAACGGGGGGGCAGGGCCAGGCGGGGTGTCTGCATTTTATTTTTGTCATCAAAGTTTCTGAGTCATGATCTTCTGACTTTCAAGTGGGTATATGTGTGACACCATCCTCCTAAGTGCTGTGTGCTGATAGTTTTTTTCAACTAAAATGGATTGAAAACCTGTTGTTAATGCCCAATGATGTTAGAGGCCATTAATTTGGGTCTTTGGTTTCTTAACCCTTCTATGCTTTAAAATAGGGAAATTCCTCTGAACTGCATCAAGTAAAATGGTTTATATGACTCAAAGGATCAGTGAATGATAATTCACTTTATTTTTGGCTCTTTTTAGGTCCATTTTGATGAGATGACTTTTGTCTGGATCATTCCTTTTAGAATTCTTTCCAACCTACCTTTAGATGAGTATCATTAATGAACTTTCCTTTTTCAAGGACTGAGGAGTCTTCCTTTGGGGTGGGTTGAGGGTGAGGGGCTTGGGGAGTCCTGGTAGAGGCCAGCTCTGTGGTAGCTGGAGAGGAAGGGATGAAACCAGCTGCTATTGCTAAGGCTGCTTGTCATTGGTAGAAGGACTCATGGGCTTGGATTGGTTAAAAGGCTAAACATGGAGTTGTCAAACTTCTTTCAAATATGTGGCTCTCTTCAATGCATTGGATATGTGATTTATGGGAAACATATGAATGCTTATAGATGATTAAAACCTGTTGGGCTGTGGAGCCCAGTTTGGAAGAATGGGGGGTTGGGGACAGATTTGGTGTCGGTGTTTCCCAACTCTGTCTCCTCCCCTGAAGTCTAAGGGATGCAGCTATGCCAAAACTCAAAGAACCACTCTTAGCTTCCACTTTTGGGAAAACTGGTAGCTGAAGCCCCAGTTAGTTCCTTTGTGGCTTTCTGTATACTTTTTCTTGGTTGAAGTCTACGGCTATAAAAATAGTTGAACCTTTCTTGAGAACTCTGTAACAAAGTATGTTTTTGATTAAAAGAAGGCCAACTAAATAATTATGTGCTCATTCTTTTTCTTAAGTTGTGGATGTTTTGGATCTATATGGAAAGAGTTCTTCATCACTTAAAGAATTCTCAGACTTGAGGTCAACATTTTCCTTCATTGCTTTGTGGCCATTGAAATGGGAAATACAGCATTCCAGAGATGACCCTGAAATAACAGTCTTTATTCTTTTCTCATTTCTCTAAAGGAGGGGGTAGAATGATATTGATTGGAGAAGATGTGGGCACTGGAAGATTGTGAAAACTAGGATATCTAAAAGAAAGAACTAAAAGTTGGAGATCCTCCATTGCCCACTTAAAGATTAAGGAAAGCTCCCAGCTGCCTCCTTAATGAAATAGGCATCACTGAGTGGGGTGTGTTATCAGGTAAGTGATTCAGTAGCAATGGCTTGTAAATAGCATTGACCACATCAGCATTTTCTTTCTGAACTTGCTGGCATGAATTTCAGAGATGTCTGTGCTAACAAAGTTTATGATATTTTAAGTTAGAACTTGAAGGAGATAGTAGATTGCCATTTAGTAATTCTTTCTGAGAGAAAACATTTCTTTATGGAGCAGTTCAGGAGAAAGGGAAGTTGTATATATTCATCTCTATACTTTACTCTTGATTTTTGATTCTTTGTGCTTTATTCAGTTTCCCCAATCATCACAGCTCCCACAAATAGCAATCTCAAAAGTTGGGATATTTCCAACTTTCCAAACCTTTCTCATCCTCATTGCTTCACTAATAAATTGCTATGCTTTTTCTCTTCACCTCTTTATGTCCTAAAAGTAATTCTATCAGTTCTGGCCCTACTTTTAGGGTGGCATCCAGTTCTATATTTTGATGGAGTTCTGCTGGGCCACCTTAGTCACAGACATATGGATAGGATAGGTTCAAAGGAACCAGAGAATTGTTGCTAGGATAGCCACCCTAAAAGAATGACTGAAGAAAGTACTGTGAACAGGAAGTCATAAAGAATGTGGAACATTAGGAAGAAAGAAAAAACATGGTCAGTAACAATATGGGTAGATCTCTCACTGTGAATTTTCTAAATTATGTCCAATAGTTGAAGTAAAGATTACAACACTTCCTAAGATGGTTTTAAATGTATATATAGGAAATATTTAAAAGTTGAAAACAGAAGAATAAAAGGGTCACATATGAGTGTGTTTTCCTTATTTCACTCAGTGATAAAATTACAGTAGACTGCAGTAATTATAAAGTAATACCTAGTATATCTACTGAAAAAGCTATATAAAGAGATACACCCCAAAACACTAGCTAAATCAAAATGAAATTTTAAAAATTGTTCAAGTAACGCAGAATATCTGAGCAGGAAGAAAATAGAAACAAAAATTGAAACAAAAAAAATTTTAAATGGTAGACTTCTGTGCTAACATCAACAATTTAAAAAAAATTGGTAGAATGGATTAAGAAATGTGGCCCAACAGTACGCTGTCTACCAGAAACTCACTTCAAACAATATATAAAAAGTAAAAGAAAAAACTGTGGAAAGGATATACAAAGTAAATGTTAAATGTAATGCAGTGATAGAATGCTTGTCTGACATGTATGAGACTCTGGGTTCAACCCTCAGCATTTGGGGGAAAAATGGGAAAGCAGTTGTGGACTGTATTAATATTAGTAGGCTTTAGGACAAAGAAAAATACCAGAGATAGCAAAATTATACAGGAGTATAAAGGTAAGTTTGATTAGGTGTGTTAAAATATACCTGTAGTTCTAACTACTGAGGAGGCTCAGGTGGGAGAATTACTTGAGCCCAGGAGTTCAAGACCATCCTGGTCAATGTAGCAAGACCTTGTCTTAAAAGTTCATGAAAAAGACAGTAATCCTAAATGGCATATATTGACAACTGAGTTGCAAAATAATGTGAAGCAACAACAAACCAAAACACTGAATATAGAAATACAGTTGTAAATACGACTGTACCTGGGGACTGTAATACCCTCTTTCAATACACTGATAGGAAATGAAACAAAATCATCAAAGACGTATAAGAACTCAGTACCACCTTCAGCTGACAAGATCTAACTGGCATTTGTCGGATAAGTCAAGCAACAACAAAACATGGTTTTTCTGGGGGACAGAGAGATGATAGTTAACAAGTCCATGGTACAGTTGGATAGAAGAAATAACTTACACTGTTTATTACCACAGTAGGTAACTAATATTTCAAAATAGCTAATAGAGAAGATTTTGAATGTTCCTAACAAAAAGAAGATTCTGAGGTGCTATATATGCCAGTTACCCTGATCCTTATACTCTGTATATATGAATTGAAATGTCATACTGTACTCCCTAAATTTGTAGTGACTATCATTTAAAAATGTAAAACTATATATTTCAAGTGCAGACACAACATATAGCATTACAAATTATCATGGGTAATAAAATTCGAGTTTAAAATAATTAGTATCATACAAAGTGTTGTCTGGCCACACTGTAGTCAAACTAGCAGGAAGAAAAAGGTAACAACATTTCCTAACACTTGAAAATAAACAACACACTTCTAGAAGTCAAGGGAAGTTGTAACAACAAAACACGAAGCTGAATGAAAATGGAAATAAAATACACTGATGTTTGTGGGATATGGTTAAAACAGTGCCAAAAGAAATTTGTAGTGGTAAATGCAGACTTTAGAAAATCTCAAATCAGCTTTGTAGTATTAGGGGTTGAATTCTTTAGCACCGAATTATGTCCCCAGCCCTTTTTTATTTTGACACAGGGTCTAGATGAATCACTGAATTGGCCAGGCTGGGTTGAAACTTGTGTTCCTCCTGTCTCTTCTTCCCAGAGTGCTTGGTTTACAGGCTTGCACTACTACACATGGTTTCAAATCAGTATTCTGTGCTACCACTTTCAGCAGCTAGGAAAGGAATGGCAAAATAAACCAAAGCAGCAGAAAGAAGCAAATAAAGACATGAGCAGAAACCAGCAAAATTGAAACAAAAATAATAGAGAAGGTCAGCTCAATAAAGAGCTGGTTGTTTGGAAAGTTAATGACAAATTTCTAACAAGATTGACCAAGGGAAAAGAGAAGATACAATTTGTGAATGAAATGGGATAGCACTACAAATTGCAGATACTACAAGGATGTTAAGGGAATACTGTAAACAGCTACACACACAAATTTGACAGCCTACATGAAAGAGCAGTTTCTTGAAAAAAGAGAAAACCCAATATGAAATGTATTTTTGAGTAGGCCTGTAGCTAGTAAGGAAATTAGATTAATTTTTAAATCTAAAACCAAAGCAAAACAACTGCAGGCCCAGATGGTTCCACTGGAGAATTCTTACCAAATAATTAATACCGGTCCTGTAGTATTTTCCAAAAATAGAAGATGCATCACAATTCATTTTAGGATCCTAGCATTACCCTGATACAAAGCACCACTCAGAAAAAATAAACTATAGACCATATCTGTCATGTATATTCTTGAAAAAAATCTTTATCAAAATATTTTCAAATTTAATTCACCACTGTATAAAAAAAGAATGATATACCAGGACCAAATGGGGATTATTCTAGGAATGCTGGACGGGTTCAATATTTGAGAATAGCCTAATCCAACACAGTATTGAGTTTAAAAAAAACTTAGTATCAGTTGATATACAGGAAAGCATGTGACAAAATTCACCCATTCTTGATAAAAACTCATGAAAGTAGGAATAGAGAAAAATTGCCTAAACTTCATTAAAAAACACCTATTAAAAAACCCTATAGATAATATTATTCTTAATGGTGCAAACTTGAATGCTTTCCATGTAAGATCCCGAACAAGTCAAGATCAAGCTCCAGAACCAAGTGGTCGCTATCTCGACCAGTCTGAAAGCTTTAGTGCTTGTAGTTCAAGTGCTGAAAGTTCTAGCCAGTGTAGCAAGGCTACACTGTAGTAAAAGAAATAAAAGCATGTAAATTTTAAAGAAATAAAATGGTCCCTGTTTGCAGATGACATGATGGTCTATATAGAAAAGCCCTCAAACTAGTAAGAGTCCAGCAAAGTCATAAGGTACAAACTCTTCATATAACAATTAACTGCAGTTTATTAGCACTGAACGCACAGGCACAAAAATATAATCCCATTTATAATCACTTATATATCTATTGAAATTACATGCTGAAAACTACACAATGCAGGTAAACTGAAGATCTAGATAAATGAAGAAATATACCATGTTCATGAACGGGAGCACAACACAGTACCGATGTCAGTTCCCCTAAATTTTATGAAAATTAACGGGCCTAATGCAGTGCATACCAAAGCCTCTGCAGGAATTTTGAATACAGGCAAGGTTATACTAAAATTTTATGTGTAAAGATAAACCAGAATAGCGAAGACAGTTTTGAAAAACACTAAAGTCAGGGTTATCAGTCTACCTGGTTTTAAGATACTACATAACTACTATAATCAAGGCTTGGTATTGGCAGAGAGAGATACAGATCAGTGGAACAGAACAGAGAACCCACATATGTACATAGCAGACTTTTTTTTGACAAAGACACAAAAGCGATCTAATGGAGGAAAGCTTTACCAAATGGTGATCGTTATGGTTTAGATCTAAAATGTCCCCCAAATTAAAGTAGGAAGAACAAGTTCAAATGGGAAGGGAAACAAGGAAGGGGGGGGGAGAGGAAGGGAAAATGAAAAGAGAATAGAAATGAAAGAAACGGAAACAAAGCTTGTGTAAATGGAGAGTGGAAGAAGGGTTCAAGGGAGTGGAGGGGAATGGGAAAAAAAGATATATACAGGTTGGGCGGGGGATTTAGCTCAGTGGTTCCACTGCCTGCCTCACAAGCGTAAGGTCCCGAGTTCGATCTCCGGTACCAAGAAAGAGAGAGAGAGAAAGAAAGGGAAGGAAGGAAGGAAGGAAAGGAAAGAGAGAGAGAAAGGAAAGAAAGAAAAAGAAAGAAGGAAAGAAAGAAATGTACAGGTACAAATTCTCTATGATGAATGTGATGCATATGTATGGCAAATATGTGCTAATAA